GCGTCAGCACCGGCCGCACCCGCCCGGCCGCCGCCCAGTCCGCCCCCGAGGCCCCGGGAGCAGCCAGCGTGACGGCCACAGGGAGCTGCGCCTTCTCTCCGACACCCTATGGACTGGGCTGCAGGACGGGTGTGGGAATGTTCTGGAAGACGGACACAGGCCTGGCGATGGCCCAGGCCATGAGGTGCGGCCTCTGTGGGGAGGGGAGAGGGTGGGGAGGGGAGGCCCTGCCAGGATGGAGCAGGGGCCTGTTGGTCACATGGACGGGGCCCGAATGGTCACAGGACCCCGAGCTGCCCCAGCATCACAGGGAGCAGAGAATTCTCAAGTAAAATGAAACGACTCATCACAGTGAAGGAGTGCTTGCTCACGGCGCCTACACGGCGGGCTCCAGCCACCCGTGCCCGGCCACCAACCCCCGACGGTCCGGCTTCTCAGAGCCAGGGCTGGCCACGTCTCCCGGGACACCCAGACCCAGGGACGGGCACGGCCGCCTTCTGGGAGTGAAAGCTGGCGACGCTGGTTGGGCCTCCCGGGAGCCCATGGCCTCCGCTCAGCTCCCACTAAGTGACCAGTGACCAGTGACCAGCCACGGGAAGCCACACCCACGCTGCCTCCTGCTCGGGACCATCTTGCAGGGGGCTCACTGGCCACGGGCACGTCCCCCACGCTCACCTCCAGCTCTGCCATGGTCACGATTCCGTCGTGGTTGGCATCAATCAGCTCCTCAAACTCCTTCCGCCTGTCCCTCACCCAGCTGTCGTCCATGTCCTGGCCACGCTGGTTCTCCACGGTCCCCACGGGCAGGGAGATGAACTCGGACAGCGAGAGCTGCTTGTCGCCGTCCTGGTCTGGGGAACAGCGGGCACTCAGCCTCGGGCGGCACAGGCACCCCGGGGCCACGAGAAGAGCCAACCCAGGGGTTGTGCTGCCGGACTGTCCGTCTGTGACGTTTCAGACTGAAGCTGAACAGCCGTGCCTCTGGGGACGGGGGCCCTGGCTGAGGCCACGTGGCGCCCACCAGGCTGTTTTCCTTCAAAGCCCAGCCCGAGACCCCCCGGCCTCCCCGGCTCAGACAGCAAGCCCCACCGCGGGGCCTGGCCGCCAGCGGGAGGGGCTGTGGCCTGGGCAGGGCCGCCTCACCCAGGTCCCGCACGATCTCCTTGACCATGAAGCGGAGCATGCCGCGGCTGTGCTCAGGGTGCAGGAAGGACAGGAACTCCTCCTCGCCCAGCAGCAGGTCCGGCGGGGGGTTGTCCGCCTGGTACCAGCGGTCCTTGAGGTTCTCCAGGACTTCCTGTGCTGCGAGCGAGAGGCACCCGTGAGCATCATGGCACGGACCCCGCATGCGTCACCCCGCACGCTCCCAAGTCCCGAGACGCTGCCTGAGTGCTGAGGCCACAGGCCCTGCCCCTCAGAGAAGAGTTCAGCCCCAAACTCCCCAACACAGATGTCCTCCCCAGATACAGCCCCGAGTCTCGGACACAGACGCCCCCACATGCAGGGGCAGCCCCCATGGGCACAGGCCTCCACCGATGCTGGGGCAGCCCCCAGCCTGCTGCTAGGCCACGGGACACGCCCTGACGAGGACAGAGCAGGACTCTGGCCCTTTCCCTCCTTCCCAGGGGCCGGGCGGAGGGCGGGCCCTGAGGGAAAACCCACTCTGCAGCCCCACCGGGCCCCAAGCCCGCCCCGTCTCTGTGGGACAGTGGGCACCGGGCGAGAGCGAGGATCGCACAGACGGCCTGTGGGTCGGTGACCATCTGGTTCCAACAGCAGGAAGCGGTCGGACGCAGGGGTCCCCCGCCCCAGCCCCACCGCTATCAGCAGGGAGCAGGGCTGCCCACACGCCCGTCGCTGGCGTTTACTGCCCTCGGAGGGACAGGACCCGAGCCAGAGCAGCTGGCGGTGCCGCCGGCCCCCCTGCGGGGAGTGACGGGCGGCGGACTACCTGGAGCCTGTGCTGCCTTTAGGACCG